AGTAGAAGGAGAGTGCATCTACATACCCTTGTAGATCGCTAAGCGGAAGCGTTCAAGTGAACGGGGTTGATGGAGTCGTACTCGTCGTGATTCAGATCACCGATGATCAAGTGCCGAACGGACGGCACCTCCGCGTTCAACACACGTACAGCCCGGTGACGTCTCCCACGCCTTGATCCAGCAAGGAGAGAGGGAGAGGTTGAGGAAGACTCCATCCAGCAGCAGCACAACGGCGTGGTGGTGATGGAGGAGCGTGGCAATCCTGCAGGGCTTCGCCAAGCACCTACGGGAGAGGAGGAGGTGTCACGGGAGGGAGGGAGGCGCCAAGGGCTCAGGTGTGGATGCCCTCCCACCCCTCCACTATATATAGGGGCAAGGGAGAGGGGGGAGGCGCAGCCTTGCCCCTTACTCCAAGAAAAGGGTGCGGCCAAGAGGGGGGGAGGAGTCCATCCTCCCCAAGGCACCTCGGAGGTGCCTTCCCCCTTGAGGACTCTTCCCTCTAGGGTTCCCTAGGCGCATGGGCCTCTTGGGGCTGGTGCCCTTGGCCCATGTAGGCCAAGGCGCACCCCCTACAGCCCATGTGGCCCCCCGGGGCAGGTGGCCCCACCCGGTGGGCCCCCGGGACCCTTCCGGTGGTCCCGGTACAATACCGATGACCCCGAAACTTATCCCGATGGCCGAAACAGGACTTCCTATATATAAATCTTTACCTCCGGACCATTCCGGAACTCCTCGTGATGTCCGGGATCTCATCCGGGACTCCGAACAACATTCGGTAACCACATACAAGCTTCCTTTATAACCCTAGCGTCATCGAACCTTAAGTGTGTAGACCCTACGGGTTCGGGAGACATGCAGACATGACCGAGACGTTCTCCGGTCAATAACCAACAGCGGGATCTGGATACCCATGTTGGCTCCCACATGTTCCACGATGATCTCATCGGATGAACCACGATGTCAAGGACTTAATCAATCCCGTATTCAATTCCCTTTGTCTAGCGGTATTTTACTTGCCCGAGATTCGATCGTCGGTATACCGATACCTTGTTCAATCTCGTTACCGGCAAGTCTCTTTACTCGTTTCGTAACACATCATCCCGTGATCAACTCCTTGGTCACATTGCGCATATGATGATGTCCTACCGAGTGGGCCCAGAGATACCTCTCCGTTTTCACGGAGTGACAAATCCCAGTCTCGATCCGCATAAAACAATAGATACTTTCGGAGATACCTGTAGTGCACCTTTATAGTCACCCAGTTACGTTGTGACGTTTGATACACCCAAAGCACTCCTACGGTATCCAGGAGTTACACGCTCTCATGGTCGAAGGAAGAGATACTTGACATTGGCAAAGCTCTAGCAAATGAACTACACGATCTTTTGTGCTAGTCTTAGGATTGGGTCTTGTCCATCACATCATTCTCCTAATGATGTGATCCCGTTATCAACGACATCCAATGTCCATAGCCAGGAAACCATGACTATCTGTTGATCACAACGAGCTAGTCAACTAGAGGCTCACTAGGGACATATTGTGGTCTATGTATTCACACGTGTATTATGATTTCCGGATAATACAGTTATAGCATGAATAAAAGACAATTATCATGAACAAGGAAATATAATAATAACACTTTTATTATTGCCTCTAGGGCATATTTCCAACAATATTCATATTCGATGTCATAGCATTCTCTCTTGTTCCTCTTGGACGAAGCAATTAGGATCCATCTGCGAAGGGGTTTGTGAACATCGATGGTGACTCGTGCTCGAAGGAAACCCCCAACAGGATCAATCTGCACGTTAGAAGCTTCCTTATCGATCTGTCTTGCTATCGCCAGACCCCTCGTTTCGTTCTTCAGATTGTAGGGCAGGTTTACAACCCTAACCCAGATCGGCAACCTGTCAAATTTCAGCTCCTATGGCTGCATGTGCGCTTGAAAGTCCTCCAAGATGACCGCGTGTTTGCTGATGTGCCAGGGGGATCCCTCCCAGACAAGATCCCGATCTCGCTTAGTCTCAAACTCCGTGACGAACATGTTCTCCCCCAACGGACTGATCGCCAGGCCTCTTGGGTTGCCCCAAGCTGGACGTAAGGCGTTGGAGATTGTCTGGATGTGGAAGAGATTGCGATACAGAACCTTGCCCCCCAGAAGCCACTTCGGTGCTGCACCGTCGTCCTTGTCATCCATCACCAGAGGTGTTGCCTCTTCCTCGGAGATGTCGAGTCTACCGAGCGCCGCCTCCATCTGCGCCCGAGCCGAGCGAGGGGAGAGGGCACCTCCGTCTTGCTTCTCCTTGCCCGCGCCGGATGTTGCGATCGTCGCCGGGAGCACGTGGGTGGCCCGCAGGAGAGATCTGCGGCCGCCGTCAAGATCGCCTAGCCCTAATCGCCGCGAGGGTGTTAGGGTTTCGGGAACGTTACGCACTGATTGTTGCCTTAAAGCATCAACCACGCCACCTCGTCACTGATGGCCGGCCTGGCGCCACCATGTCATGCCACAGAAGCGGCCTACATAGCTACATACGAGAATGAATCGTATATGCACCTTGAGACAAGTTCCGACACTAGTTTTCCGTATTTTTCAACTTGTGATACCAAACTGCACACGTTGTGCAACTTCATGTACCACCAGCGCATTTATCTCTTTTGTTTTCCAGCGTAACTAATGCACGCTTTCATCCTTTCTTTTAACCGTTGATACATGCATGCGTGCATTAGAATAACCCCAGTTCTTCTCACGTGCACTTCTTCTAATTACATACATGCATGCACTCGTGGACAAAAGATTAATGTCATCCTAGATTTTTTCTATTTCGAAAATTCAAAATATTTTGTATCTAAAATCGTCGGTCCGACTGAATATTCATTTTCACATAAAAAATAAACACGGTGGACCTTTAAAACTGGATTCCATGTTGATATACCCTGACGACTTTTTTGGGGGTCAAAAGTTATCATGACTAGGCTATGTGATTTATCATGCATGTGGTACAAAAGTTACCATCAGGGAAATTAGGGGAGCATAAAATGGTTCCTCCGACCTTCTCCCCCACATGCAAATGCGTGCATGCACTAGAGAACAAAAGTTGATGTCATCTTATTTTTCTCTCCAGTTTGAAAATTCAAAATATTTTGTAGCTCATGTTAATGCAATGTCTTGCTCCCTTGAGATTTGGGGATTGTTGTCAGAAATAGTATGGGACTGATTTGTTTCGTAGTGCACACAGAGAGAAATAGTCCCTGACATATGGAGAAGAATGCTATATTCCGCCAAGAAGATAGATATAAAATTCACTAAGACTTATCTGCGTTGCAGAGAAGAGAGATATGTTTCGAGAAGAAACTATACCAAGAAGATTGCGTAACAAAGTTGACCCCTAAAAATATTGCTGAAGTGAAGCAACTGGTATCCATGGTGTCCGAGAAGAAATGATTGCAGTCGAGAAGATTGAAGACGAAACAGTTGTTGCGTTGTTCTTTCTCTTATTTGAGTCATAGGACCACTGTATTACTAAGAGGGGTGTAAATATTTCGAGACTTATGTCTGTTGTGATGCTTAGTCGAAACCTATGAGAGTTGAGAGAAATCTTTTTGTGCTCCAAAATATTTCTTGCCAGCCAGAGACGTTGATCTTGTGGGCTGTGAGAGACATTTTTTAACTGAGGAGTCAGCCTTACTTGTTCCTCAAGTAAAGTTGGAAATGTGTCGATTGGTGATACGTCTCCAACGTATCTACTTTTCCAAATACTTTTGTTTTTATTTTGGCCTCTCATTTGCATGATCGAATGAAACTAATCCGGATCGACGATGTTTTCAGCAAAACTACATTGGTGTTGTTTTTGTGCAGAAATAAGTTCTCAGAATTGGACAAAACTTTACGAAGATTTATTTTGAAATAAATAAAAAACACTTGAGCAAAAAAGTGCCAGAGGGGGCCACTCTAGGCTCACAAGCCTGGGGCGCGTCGGGCTCGATTGTGGGTCCCTTGGACCCCTTCGGTCGAGATCGACTTGCCCCCATAAGTTAGCTATACATGGAAGGAGTGAATCAACTACTCCCTCCGTCTCAAAATAAGTGTCTCAATTTTGTACTAACTCTAATATAAAGTTGTACTAAGTTTGAAACACTTATTTGGGACGGAGAGAGTATTTCATAGTACGCCATTACAACACACGCGCGCACACGCTTAACCTAACTACGTAAAAAAATACTAATAACCTTAGGTTTCAGTTTTAGTTTTGACAAACAATTGTTGTCTGCTCTAACACGAGGGTACACGATGCAAGCTCACCAGTCAACCATTCTATCAAATTGATGTTATTAAATCTAGAAAATCAGCAATGTTCTAAAGTAACCCAGGTAGTTTCCAAATTTTGATAGAAACTTCCTCGGTGATAGTGTCAAAAAAATGTCTTATGTTAAGTTACAGTGGGAGTGAGGACTGAGTTGTAGCTCAGTGGCAAGGACGCAGTGGCGTTACCTTGTAGACTGGGGTTCGACTCCCATCAAGAGTGAATTTCCGTGATATCAACTGGATTTCCGAGATATCAACCGGATGGGCTCCTTCTATATAAAAGTGCGACTATGCTACATCGACGAGCTCTTTACAAGGCTTTATTATTTTTAAAGTTACGGAGGGAGTAGAACAGAAGCATACATTACTTTTTCTCTCGAAAATGCAGTCCCATACACATTACTTGCTTGGAGATGCGTGCAATTTAGTTTTCAGGTCTGAATGTCTGATAGAGTTGAAGAGTTGAAGGAGATCACGATTCGTTCGCTACTTATTTATGATACGACAGCAACATTCTTATATGCATAAAACAGCGTACTCTACTACCATAGATGCGCTACTAGAGTTCGGTACTACTTCGGTCACACCAAGCTACAACGAGCAAAGATTACACTAGTGATGGATCGATCGAGTCACGGGTACGTAGCTCGCCCGGTTGCTGCGGCGGCGTGGGTGGTTGGCCGCCGCGCTAGCTGGTTCACAGGCACCAGAACGACGACGGCCGCGCCCGCTTGGCCGGCGGCGACGTGATCTCCGGCACGGCGAACACGTCGCTGTCGCTGTCGCTGTGGTACCACTCCCGCACGTGCCCCTGCTTGGCCTTCGCCGCCGCCGCCGGGGCCACCAAAGCGGCCGGAAACTCCTGCAGGCCCCAGGCCGGAACCGGCGTATGCGGCACGTGGGGCGCCCACGCGCCGCGCTTCCCCGGACGCTCGGCGGCGACCACGTCGAACAGGTCGGCGTCCAGGAACGGCACCTGCTCGTCGCGCCCCTTCTGCTTCTGCCCAAGTGCAAAGGTTTTGGCGTTTAGTTTTCGCACGTACGCTGCGGTGGACAGAACCGGGTAAAGAGACGGTCGGCGACTTACGGCGACGAAGGCGGCGTCGTCGAAGAGGAGTTCGTCGACTTGCCAGCCGGGGCAGATGTTGGTGAGGTAGTCTGAGATGCTGCTTCCTCCTCCTCCTCCTCCGGCGTGGCTGGCGTCATGAACTGCAGGGGCTTCCTCGGCGGCCGAGGCCGAGCAGTCGTCCTGCTCGACGGAGCTCCCGTCCGGGGAGGGGATCTCCTGGTCCACGGGGTCGGCGGAGAGCTTGGCACCGACGAGGAGGAAGCGGCTGTGCTTGGCCGTGAGCTCGTTGGCGCTGTGAATGGGCTCGTCGCAGTCGGCGCACAGGATCGCCCGGTCCTCCACGCAGAACACGAGCCCCCTCCGCTCCTGCAAACAATCCAGCAAACAGACACCGTCAGCTCAACTCAGCTCAGCTCAGTGTCGCAGCATCGGACGGACATGGAGCGCAGGCACCGCACGCACCTTGCAGACGTCGCAGAGCGGCGCGGCGGCGTCGTTGGCGGCCGGGGAGGGCTGGAGGAGGGTGAGGCGGCGGTGCTTGCCGGCGAGCTTGTTGGCGCGGTGGACGCGGCGGTTGCAGGGGGAGCAGAGCGCGGCCTCGTCGGCGCAGCAGAGCACGGCGGCCGGCTCGAGGCCGCAGACGTCGCACTGCACGCGCATGGCGATCGGCTTTCTTGGAAGCAAGTCAAAGGAGGGGGAGAGTTGCGGCTGGATGCGAGGAAGGAGATGGAGGGAAATAATAATGCAAGGAGAAGAGAACAGAGGAGCAAGCAAGCAATGGAAGAGGAGCATGTGGAGGGCGATGGGGCTATTTTATATACGCCATGACAGGGAGACGAGAGGGATCTTTCACGCCGAGTTTTATTCTGCTGCCGCATGGGTTTGTTCAAAAGCTTGGGGTGGGGTGGGGTGGGGTGGGGCGGGGCATGGAACTCCAAAATATCCTTAACAAAACCAAAAATATCTAGCGGTGATCTGTACTTCAGGGTGAGGGAGTCAGTGCTGGCATTGTCCCTCCCGAATGAGGGAGCCGGAGGTGGAGCCGTGGAGGTGGGCAACTGTGTCAGCTTAAAATGTATCTTCTACTTTTTTCCCTTTTTGGCATAAGGTTCAAAACTTTTAGCAGACCTGGTGTTACACAAGCCACTAAATCTTGGTAATTTTTCTCACCCTTTCGACTTCCCCTGTGGTTTTGTGAGGCCACACTATCACGAAGAGCATCGACGGGTATCGAAGCCCGTTACAAGGTCTAGAGAGTTATCAAGGTCGTGTGGCTACGACTACGAGGTGAGAAAAGTGACGGTTAGGTTATTTGGTTACCGAGTGACAATCAAGAAGCCTTTTCAAATCAACAAGCAAGAAGCTGGAAGGAGATCATAAAAAAGGTACTAAGTTTTATTTTCCAGATTACTGTACAATTCAATACCCTATACTAGTTCGAGCTTAATTGATTTGCTTCTTCTTTGCTTCCTTATTTCTTCTTCTTTGGATGTAATCATGGCGGGAGGTTACTCAAATTGGCGATCAAAGCAAAGTTGAGACTAAATGGGTCAAGATTCAAAATCTCAAGACTATGGCTTGTCGTATGTGTATGTCATATGTTGGCGGACGGGTGAGGGGGTGCACTACTAGGGAAAAGCCTAGCAGCAGCGCGGGTTTTGGGCCTATTAACAGCGCGGGGGCCGGCACTACTAATAAGGCGCTACAGCTAACTTATAGCAGTAGCGCGGGTGCCACCCGCGCTACTACTACGTCCTTTAGTAGTAGCATGGGTAAAAACCCGCGCTACTACTACCAGCGCGGTTTTTTTTTGATTTTTTTCGAAAAAATATTTTGATTTTTTCCCTATTTTTCAAATTTCTGAATTATTTTAACCTCAAATCTCTAATCACCCCTCATCGCTGCTCAATTTAATCTCTAATCACTCCTCATCATTCCAAATCATCTAACTTCCCGGACGGTCATCCATCCTCTCACTACTCCAGCCTGAGCACGCTTAACTTCCGTGTCTATTCTCCCTCGTTTCCAAGTCTGCACTTGTTGTTTTCCTGACAATAGTAAGATGTCAATCCTATTAACCTCAGAAATTTAGCTTGAGCATGAAGTCACACATTTCACTATTTAAGTTTGAAACTATTGTTCTAAAAAATTAGTAACACTAATATTTCTTGAATAATTAGTTTGACCACAGTTTGACCACAGTTTGGCCATAGTTTGATCAGATTTGACCAAAATTCAAAAAAACTAAAACAATTATTAGTAACACTAATATTCTAGAATAATTAGTTTGACCATTGTTTGACCACAGTTTAACCACACAGTTTGAATTTTTTTCGATTTTTCCCACTGTAGATCTTAAAAGCCCCGTAACTTTTTTCTTTTAGGTTTTTGAGGATTTTGAAAATGTTTAACGGGGTTTCCCCGGTTAAATTTGGATGTAACTTTTCGAGTAGATGATTTTTCATATAAAAAACTTTTTCATCCGAGTTAGTATGCAAAAGTTATGCCCATTTTTACAAATTCTCGAGAGATTTTGCAAATAAAGTCAAAATTCATATTTGCAAATTTTCACAACAACTAGACCACATATCACATGTGAAACTTATTTTCTTTTATTTTTTTGACATTTTCATCATTTTCTTTTATTTTTTTTAACTGAAAAGGCGATCAGGGGGGTAGAGTTTGAAAATGGGACCTTTAGTAGTAGCGCGGTTTTTTACCCCCTCGCTACTACTATGGCACCACTTAGTAGTAGCGAGGGCTAAAAACCAATGCTACTACTAGCAAACTTAGTAGTAGCGAGGTTTTAAAAACCCGCGCTACTAATATGGCATGTCCCGGGGGACACGGTAGAGACCGCTTAGTAGTAGCGAGGGTTAAAACCCGCGCTGCTGCTATCAACTTAGTAGTAGCGAGGTTTAAAAACCTGCGCTACTGGTAAGTAGCAGTAGCGAGGGTTTTTAACCCTCGCTACTAGTAACTTTCTGTGTATAGGCTTTTTCCTAGTAGTGGTGCATTGATGGATTAAAGGTATCGACTAGACGCGTGGAGTGAATAGGCCGCTAACAAATTTATAAAAATTACTCATTTGCTTATGATTTATGGAACTAAAAGCTTCCAAGATAAAATTCAAGTGAAGCCGGGTATCTAAGAAAAGAAAACACAAGCTATAAGCTAAGCAAGAATATAAGCTCGTAATGCGAAGAAAGTGAAGAAACAGATTGAGAAGACCATTCACTGATTTGTTCTACAATTTGGATATCCATTAGTACTAAACTTGAATTTTGCTTGAAGATGAACATATTACTTGGATGCTCAATTATATTTTGCGGGAATGTACCTCATATTGACATATCAAGTATTAATTGCTACGTCTCAATGTTTAGAGTCATTTATCTAACAAACCACTAATATTAGGCTGAAAAGTCATGAACATGTTTAATTAAGCTTAAAAGTCAGGAGATCTGTTCATGACTAGTGCTACAAGTAGTAGGTTACGACAACATAGCCTTTCAATCAGAAACAAGTTGCAGTAGACTAGAGTTGAAACGAAATAGTTCAAGAAACCTAGTTGTGGTTCTGGCACATGGATAGCTAACTTTTGATTCACCCCTATCCATGACTAGCTCTTTGGTGTCATTTCAGTCTTTCGTACCTCTTTTTACAAGGTAGTGTGGTTCATGAGAGGAAATAGGGCATGTTCTAGCTTGGCGGTCGATTGATAGTGACGTCCTCCAGTGCGTACTCAAGTGAACCACTAGTAATTAATATGCATTGCATAATAGCCAACCAAATGTACAACTAGCACTAGGCACATCAATTTAGTTGCCCCAATAATGTAAGCTTAATATTTGTTTTTTTGCTTCCATAAAGCAGGGAGGGACCAGCTTAATCGGCTTTGATCAATTGGCTAATCTCTTCCCTAGAATCTCAAGCCAGGTGCGCACCTTTGTGCCCCTTGGATAATGCCATTAGAGCGAACAAATCTTAATGAACTCAACTCATAATGAGTTAGAGAGAAAGGTGCACAAGTTGAATGTTTGAAATAGTCTTAAGATGTACAGCTTGATCGATGGCAATCTTCAACAGACGGTCACGCTGGAGCGAGTCACCAATAGATGATCTTGCTGGAGTGGATCCCCACTGTGGGTATCACTCCAACATGAGCATCTGTTGCTGACAATCCAGATTGGCCTGCACTAAGCTCAGTCTCCGCGCATGCACATGTTGCATCTAATAGTTGTACTGAGACTCGAGAGTTCTATTAGAAAAAGAAAGAAAACCTCGAGTTGTCTGCCGAATTCACCTGCAGTATTGTCCTTTGGTCACATGGTGTTAGCCTAAAAATATCAATTTTCAAGATCAAGACCATTGATCCGAAAATCTCCATGTGATCCCTAACTAGAGCGACGACCCTCATATTTTGAGGTTTAATCCAGAGTAGTTCGCGGTCTCTTTCCGCTAACCCTTTCCCTTTTAATTAATATCATCCCGTCCTTGTGCACAACTTTTCTTCTCTCTTGCTTAAGTGATTAGCAACTCTGATGGCGCGATACTACTAACACCTAACTCCGGTACACTGATCACATGGCGCCACCGTGCCGCTCTGCCACCTTGAGCGAGCCTCGATGGGCACATGGGTGCGCGCGCCACAGGCGGGTGTCCCGACGACAAGGACCACAGAGGATCCCAAACTATGGTTTAAGGTTGGCCGGGGACCAGCTTGGGTATGGGGCGGGGAGGGTCGGCGTCGGATTATTTATGGCCCGGCTCTCGCGCCCATCACAGGGATCGGCGAGCGAGTACGGAGCGCTGGTCCTTGGGGCGTAGGATTTGGTGTTAGATCGATCGGGATGCCAGTGTACATAGACTAGAGACATTTTAGCATGGGTCTGGCCATTGGACCAAGGGTATTTATGTACTACGTCCGCACAGCACAGCCATGCCGATGCCGATGCCGATGCCGCGATCGATCTCCTGTTGGTTTCTGGACTGCTTGACATGGCTCTGGAATTTGCAGGAACCAAAGCAGCTAGTACGAGCCTGATCAAGTTTAAAGACGATGCACATCGGGTGCAAGAAAAATCGTTTCAGCCGGGGAGAACTGCAGACGGATGTCTCAGAGAACAGAAGCAGGAGGCCATGGATGTGAGAAGCGGAATGTGGTTTTTTGCCAGGTCCGAATTGATGGTTTTACTGAAGAAGATAGACGAGGAAATATCGTCTTCAGGCGGGGCTTTCGGTTTCAACCGCAACTGTTCCGAGTGCCTGTCAAGGCCGGGACTCACCAATCAGCTCACCTCACCTCGGCCGCGATGGTTCCATGTGCCTTTCAGCGCCCACGTGAACGCGGGTGCCAACTTGCGTGCGGTCTCGTCTCCTTTTGAGGTATGGATATGGTTCACAGATTATGCTATTATGGGCAGCACCGGCCCAGCACTCCCAGAGTATAAACTAGCACTAGTCCTCTTTTTCCATACACAGCAAGACAAAACTTGGGAGTTGGGGTTTGAGTGCACGACATGTTCGCAGTACATGGCAGGAACAATTACGATGCTACGAGTACCAATTTTGAGTATATCACCAAAACATGCCACTAAAACACAGAAGTGTGCTGTTTTGAGATGGGATATTGTAGAACACGACAACAGAAGCGTAGGGAATAGAGTTTATATGTCGCCAAGCATCCCTGTAACCTACAGCAGCTCAAACATGTGTTGGCGACGGCTGAAAGGAGAAGGAAAACAGCAGCGAAAGAAATATCAGATAGGGAAATATCAGGTCTTCCTTCATTGCTAGGATTAGATGTCCACAGCGTGTTAATTGCAACACAACAGTGACTTCCGCGTCGGCAGAGATTGGGGAAGCATGCTAGTTAAGCGACAATACCACTAAGCTCAAGCACAGGTAAAGAATCATTTCGGTTGTATATTCCTTCTGCAGGTCGATCTATCTTACAGGTCTTGAGGAACTTTTTCACTCTAACAGATGTTACAGCATTCCCCTGACCAAGTTTTGCCCCCATTGAAAAAACTAGGAACAGAATCGGAACTATCCTCTTTGTGGCCTCCATGGATAAATGGGTAAACGAAAGAACATGTCGTCGGGTTCACATCACGATGCGGAGAACGGCGAGTCCAACGGCTGATATTGAAACGATGGTACCTATGCAGTATTTGATGACATCATACTTTGCTGCCTCCAGCTGGGCCTTCAGTGAATGAATTTCCTGCAGATTGTGTCAAAACAGAAGGATCCAGTTATTTCTATGATAAAGTGGTGATGCCAAAGGCCCACACATGCAGCCACTTTTGCTCACCTTGTCAAGCTTTGTGGTGAGATCTGTGGTTTCTTCATTCTGCTTGGCGAGCTCATCACGTATGCGCCTGGAGCAATCATGTTTTAATCATATAACACCGACAAAACAATCTTAATTATTGCGGCAGAAACATGACAAAGACAGAGCAACCACTGGAATTGTCATGGAAGTAAATAAGTAATGCCCAGTGTAAGCACTAATAGATGAAACTAATTTGTTTCATTTTCAAAAGGAAAATGAGGGTCAAGGGGAAGAAGAACTAAGGTTCCCACTTGCTGCTAGCCTGTTCTACAAAAAAGTCCGTTCTGTCATAACTCATTAATGCTTCAAAAATCAACTAGAATGTAATTAAAGCCTTAATATACCATTAAGTATTAAAAAGTGGCACTGGAATTCTTAAGATGAAATATAAACCTAGACACTTGATGGTATATTAAGACAAGAGTTTATATGCTACTTGCATCCTGACCATCCGAGAATTTTGTAAAGAGAAATTATGAGCAGCCCGACCAAAAAGTAAAAAAAGGTGAAAGTTCATACAGCAAACCGAATTTAACCGTAAACACTCTGTAGGTTGGACCTAAAACTTGAACACCGACTGACAATGTTTTGTTACACATAGAAGTGATCAATAATTGCATAGAATGATAGAACAGACAAGCAGTCCAAATTAAAGGGCACCACAGACAGACCCAAAGACGATGGCCATGTATACATATGGCAATCTTAGAAGTGAGAAATTTAACCATTCTTTGATTATTTATTCTTACATAAATTCAAATAAAGTATACTTTCTGATGCTTCAATAGTCAGCGGGAGCTGTTACATAGATGTGTTTTGGTCAGATAAGACAAACAAAACAATCTTAATTATTGTGGCGGAAATGTGATAAAGACAGAGCAACACTGCAATTGTCATTAAATAAGTAATGCCTAGTAGTGTATAAACACTAACAGATGAAACTACTTCGTTTCATTTTCGAAAGGTCAATGGGGGCTAAGGGGGAGAAGAATTAAGGTTCCACTTGCTGCTAGCCTGAACTATTTGGAACTGTTCTACAAAAAGTTCATTCTCCCATAACTCATTAATACTTCAGAAATCAACTATAAATGTAATTAAAATCTTAAAATACCATCAAGGGTTAAAGGGTGGTAGTGGAATTCTCAAGATAGCAATATAAATCTAGACGGCCCGGTTAATCAATGTCATGACTCAACATGTGCAGTAAGATGCGCAAGGCAAGAGTTAATGATCATGTATGGAACATGCATTCTGACCATTGGAGAATTTTTGCTAAGAGAAATTATGAACCGACCAAAAGTAAAAGGTGAAAGTTCAATACAGCAAACCAAATTTTATCATAAACACTCTGTAGGTTGGTCCCAAAACTTAAGAGTTAAGACACTGAATGGCAATATCTTTTTACACATCGAAGTGATCAATAATTGCATAGAACAGATAAGCAGTCCAAATTAAAGGCCAAAGGCTCAAAGATGCTGAACACATTCATCACACGGTCTTAGAAGTGAGAAGTTTGACCATTCTTCGACTATTTATTCTAAAGTATGATTTCTGATGCTTAAATACTAGTTAGCAAGAGCTGTTACTGTTAGCCAATTGCAAGGATAGTGCATGCAGCATATATAAAAGAGGGATATGTAAGTTTACCCTCTTTCAAGGTTCAGATCCAACCGCTGCCCTGCAGTGACCTTGTCAATCTCATACCTGTTTCACACAAAATAACCATTAAGTTGAGTATGCTATTTAAAATTTGTGGTATAAACAGCTCATGAATGCAGAAGTTCATACTCACTTCAGTTCACTCCTCATCTTATCAATGTCTCCACGGAGTTTTTCAGTCTCCCGCTGTAACAAAGAGAAGTGGTTTTCCTGCATACAGAAACTTCCCACTCATGAGCTTATTTAGTAAAAAAAATAAGAACACAAGTTCTGACCAACATGGGCAGTAAGTCGTATGTTATAGTTATTATTAAACATATTTTTGCTCCAACCAAACTCCATAGAGAAATAAGTGCATGAGAAAGGTTCAACAAAACAGAAGTTACAAATGCCAATAAATGGAAAAAGGAGTCTATGACCTGCAATCAATGCAAATATAGCCTACACAGAATGTGTTGCACTGCCACCAGTGATCTTTAACCTTTTGGTCAAGTCTTTTTGGCATGTACTCCCTCCGTTCCGAATTACTTGTCTCGGAAATGGATGTATTTAGAACTAAAATACATCTAGATACATCCATTTTCGCGACAAGTAATTCCGAACGGAGGGAGTACACATGTTTCTACAATGCTGAGCATTTCCATTGCAAGCACCAGTGATCTTTAGTTAGCCTTTTGGTCAAGTCTTTTTGGCATGTACACATGTTTCTACAATGCTGAGCATTTCCATTGCAAGCATTGTGAAAAGCAAAACAAAACTGAAAGTCACACAGCAGTAACATCCAGACAGCACTTTTAATTTATTCGCTGAATAAGCTATGTTTTTCTTCTTTCCTTTCAAATCTACTGATCAACGTACCAACACCGTGGAGTGAGCACGAAAACATCTCTAAGGAGTGACTTATTAGCAGAATGAGAGTTCATGAGTTCAGTGGAGAGTCTCAGTTGTGCCCCGTAACATTGGTTATTAGCTGAACAAGAGTTAATTGCCATGGAAATATTAATCACTAATCATCATACTCTCTGTTTTTGAGTCGCCGACTAATCGCCAAGTCGTCGCGGCATGGCTGGCTCGCGCAGGCGACTTGACTCAGGGAGCAAGTCGCGCGACTCGCGTGGCTCGCCGGCGACTTGGTGCGATTAGTCGCGCGACTCGCTGGCTCGCTGGCTCGCGTGGCTTGCTGCTGCTATATATGTCATCATGTGGGAACTGGGGAAGGAGGAGGACCGAAGGAAAGAGAGCGCAGGGTGGGCTCTATATGTGCTCTGCTTAGATGTAGTATATGAAAGATAGCGCAGGGTGGGCTCTATATGTGCTCTGCTTAGATGTAGTACATTTTCTCTGCTGTATATGTGCTCTGCTGCTGCTGTATATCTATGTGCTCTGCTGCTCTATGTACTGTTATGCCATGGCGACTTGGGGCGACTAATCAAGCCAAGTCGCTGACTCAAGCCAGCAAGCCACTAGCCGCAGCCTCGGCGACTTGGCTTGACTCGGCGACTCAAAAACCTTGATCATACTTTCAAGAATCAAGAACACTAAAGACTGGAAATAGTATATATTTGAGTACTAAATGGCAGATATGCAGATAGCTAAACTTTGGCTAAAAGATAAAGATCAAAATAATCCTTTCAAATCTACGGATCAACATATCCAACGCTGTGGGGTGAGTACGAAAACATCTCTAAAGAGTGACTTATTAGCGGAATGGAGAGTCTCAGTTCTGTCTCCGCAATATTGGCTAATTAGCTGAATCGAGAGTTCATTGCCATGGAAATACTTAATCACTAATCAGCATACTTTCCAGAATCAAGAACACTACATATTGGAAATACTGTACATTTGAATACCAAATGGCAGAAATTCAAGTTAATAAACTTTGCCTAAAGAATAAAAATAAAATAATCCTTATATTGTGTTGAAGATTGTTTAGAGATTTGGTAGCATTTGCAGGTTCAAACATAACTTTATCAGAAAAAAAAAATTAATGTGAACCAAATAATCCTTTAGGTGAAACAACAGGATAGAGCGTGTGAAATTGTGAATACATGTGCTCCATGGTAAGAGCTAAAAAAAACTACTAATCTCACTTCAAAATACAAGGTGAGATGTTAATGAAAAAACAAATTATGGCAGACTATGTAGTAGATAACATTAAACAAGAAAAATAAAATGTACATGTGAAGGACACGAAACAAGCCAATAATGCCAGATTAGACGCTTCTACAACAAGGGGAGTCCAAAACTCTCAAGTGCCAACAACAGTAACCTAATGGGTCTATTAAGATCAAATAGCACAGAATGATTGTGCATTGGAGCAAACGGTGACCCCAACCCCTAATTACTACTCCCTCCGTTCCAAATTACTCGTCGCTGAAATGGATGTATCTAGAATCAAAATACATCTAGATACATCCATACGTGCGACAAGTAATTCAGAACGGAGGGAGTACCTCCGTTTGGAATTAACTGTCGCTGAAATGAGTGTATCTAGACGTGTTTCAGTGTGTAGATTCACTCATTTCAGCGACAGTTAATTCCAAACGGAGGAAATACATGCCAACTATTTGCACAAACCAATCATTATAAGCCAAGTGAGGGCTACTTCTTCCAATTACCAACATACAATCACGAGATGAAGTAATGCAGGATAACCCAGAGAGAACAATGGTAAGTAGAACTTGTACAAGCTAATGATGAAGTCCTAATCACATACAAACCAAGCTATTTGCACAAATAAAACGCTTATAAGCCAAATGGGGGCTACATCTTGAAGGTACCAACAGACAATCACAAAATGGAATAATGCAGAATAACCAAGTGAGAAACAATGGCAAGTAGAAATTGTAGAAGCTATATCAAAGCTATATGATGAAGTTCAACAGAAAGGCAGCCAACAGCCATAAGAACAACAGCTTCTACAAACGTCAGTGGTCATCGAACTAACAGTTTGGTTCCAACCATACCTGCGAGCTCTGCACTTGTGACTTGAACTTGGAGATATTGGCCTCCTGCAGCATCTCACTCTGCACACGGCAAATCAAAAGCAGGAAACAGATAAGTAAGCTGTCCATCCCCACCAGAAATACAGTCAGAAGGTGACTGGCGTTACCTTCTGCATCTCGGCCTTGGAGACGAAGGACTCGGAGATGCTCTCGAGGCTGTCGTTGAGGACCTCCGTGATGGCGGATGTGATGGCCTCCGCCTGCTTGGTCGGGACGCCCTGCGACTCCAGCTTCCTCACCTGCGAACGACACGATCACCGACGCGCGCACGCGATCTCAGCATTGCATTTCGTCGAGCACCTCCAGGGCGCCAATTCCCATAGACAGCGGCCATTTTGCAGGCAGATGGTAGTAACTAGTAAGCGTAGCGGACGAGTGAGTTACCAGGGCGAGGGTGTCGACGAGGAAGGCGCGGCGGCCGTTGGTCTTGACGAGCTGCGAGATGCTGCGGGCGGCGGCGGGGCCGGCCCGCCGCGTCGGCCACTGGTGGTGGTGGTTGTGCAGGAGCATGCCTCGCCTGCACGCCGCGGCGGCCGCTGCGGCCATCTCCTCCCCCCCGCGCGAGGCGTCGACCGGAGGAGACGGGGGCGCGTGGGCGGAGGAGGCGGACGAGGAGGGGGGCGAGCGGGGCGCGGGGTCGGTGCGGGGCGGTCAGGCCGGGCTATAAGCGGGCGGGCGGTGCCGGATTCGGGCGGCTCGGCTTGGTTTGAGGGAGGGTGGCGGTGGTGGGATTGGAGGCGGGGGCGGTGCTAATTTGGGAAAGGTGGGGGAGACGGTGGGAGGCGGAGGAGGTCAGGAGGATGCCGAGGCGTGGAGAAGAAGAAGACGCCGAGGACCCATGGGGGAAAGCGGAAGAGGAGAACGTGTTTGGGAAGAAAACTAGCAACTGCTTCCGTGCTTCGTGTTTGTTCCCCCTTCTCGTTTGTTGATTTTGTGAAACAGCCCTCGGTTCTACGCATGGCGCGGTGTATCTGCTATTCTTTCTCTTTCGTGGGCTTGTTTGCAAATGTTTCGCAAGTCCTAGACGTGACGCAGAATATTGTTGAACAGCCGGAATATGGAGCAGTGCGGTTACGCGGAGCGAAATCTATTTAATTTTATTTTTGCGGGAAATCTATTTGTTACAAAATGCAATCGAATGAAGTCGCAAAAAAGAGAAAGGAATCCAATGCAATATGCATGCCAAAAAAATGCCACCCTGGTCTGGTGACTGGTGGTGGTCTCCCAGCCTGGTCCGCGTTGGTCCGGCCCGACCGGTTCGGTAGGGCGGCCACGGCTGGTGACCGGAGAAGTGGCGGACGATGATGATTTGACGGTGATGGATTATTGGATTTTGCTCGGGTTTCGACGCGGTAAACGTGTTCAACGAGGCAAAATGCTCTTCTCCTCGGCTGACTCGCACGGGTCCCCATCCACGGACGATGGATCCACCGGCCGAGTCCGCGTCGCCCGCGCTTCCCTAGGCGTCGCCGTCCACGCTTCGACGTGCGCCTCGCCGCGTCTGCCCGATGGGCAATGGTAGGTAGATGGATGGGCCGTGGCGTCCTTGGATCGGTAGCGGCAGGTCGCTCGCGTCGCCTGCACCACATGGGCCTGGCCCAGCAAGCACAGTCAAAGCTAGCGACAAAAGCTCACGCCTGTTTTTTTTTTTTAAATTTCGGTCTGTTTAATTTTACGAAAAAACTAACTCCCACACGTGTGACATCTTGCACATCATCCGCATGCCTTCATCATCACTCATTTTACTATATATGAACAGATGACACCAGCAGGAATTTTTTTGGTTTTCGGCTTAAAACTGTTTTACCTTTTAATTAAAAAATCGAATTAAAAATCAGTTTTCACTATTAAATCCGTCTCGACGAGATCTTAAAACTAGACCCCATGTTGATATGTTTCGACAACTTTTTTTCTCAAAAGTTGCCATGATGTTTACACTGTAGTTGCCATAGTGCTTAAACTAAAGTTGTCATGTGGCAATTTTAGTTTGTAGAGCATGGCAATTTTAGTTTTTTGATGATGACAATTCCAGTACTTTGACCATGAAAATTATTTTTTGTATGAACCATGTCAATTTTAAGTGCATGTATCATGATAATTTTAGTTTATGGTTCATGGCAAGTCTAGTTTCTTAATTCCCCATTTTATAATGTGTGAAAATTTACTTTTAAATATAGAAGAAAATAGCTAAAACACATCATGGCAACTTCAGTGTAAACATCATGGCAATTCATGTGTAATATACATGGTAACTTTTAACCCAAAAATATTCATCGAAATATATTGATATGAGATCTAGTTTCAAAGATCTCGTCGCGCGAGATTTAATGGTGAAAACGGATCTTCAATCTGATTTTTCATTTAAGAGATAGAATATTTTAAAAACAGGAAATCCAAAAAGATTCTCACATGCATGCATGCGGTGACGTGGCGCAGTCTGTGTGTTATAGGGTGTGTGGGCAGGTTTAACTCCCACAACACATGTGCATTAGCGTTGTCCTAATTTTAAGTTGAAAAAATCATGAATTCAGAAAAAATGTGAATTCAAAATGCTCACGAATTTATAAAAGAAATGTTCGCAAGTTTGGAAAATGTTCATGAATTCAAAAAATGTTCATGAATTATAAAAAGTATTCCGAAGTCAGGAAAAGTTCATGAATTCAAAAAATATATTCACAAACTCGAGAAAAGTTCATGAATGAAAAAATCAATCCAACCTTCATTTAGGTATGACAGTAGCTGCCTTGTCCACCGTCTTTTTCTCCAGGTGTTTCACATCTTTGATCCCACCTTCCAGCTACTCATGTACTTCCTTCTCCTTGACTTTCTTCATAACACACTTGAAGCACTGTCCACTTTCTGATTTGCCTTTCATAAGTGGACATGGCGTGAATGAAAAGGTACGTTTGGCGCGACGAGTACGCCTTGCAAAATCGGAGCTACAAGAGTCTGCCATCAAATCTGACTCAATGATGCTAACCATGGCATAATCCGGATAATAATTGTTCATAGCGATATACAACGCAAGATATCAAACAAATAATTATAAGGTCACCTAGGATTTAGTACATACGGGGGTCACTGCTATTCGAATAGCAATGGTACAACCTTACTTTAAACAGATTATAAAACATTCACATTACAACAAAGGCTCACACTGGCAGAGTTCAGAATTTATCTTGCTCATAATAGCAGTTCAAAGTATGGTACATGGATCTGAACTACCTACTTCACATGGATTTGCAGGAGAGTTAAACCATAATGCAGGAAGCACATACCTATAGGGAGATCCAAGCACTACTAGGAAAACCCCTATAGGCAATCACATAACAGTGGCACGGGTTATATGCCCCATGCTACTGCTACATGGTAGATGCATGGGCTAAAAAGTGCGCTAATAGTAGAAATTAGCAGTAGCGTGGGCTCTGGTACCCCGCGCTACTGCTAGGTGGTTCCCACCGTTCCTCGGGATAGGTCACTTAGTAGTGGCGCGCGCTACAACTACTGGGATTAGCAGTAGCCCGGTGCCCATGCCCCGCACTACTAGTAAGCGCAACATCCCTACTCTCTCCCGGCCGCCCGTTCCTCACTCCCTCTCTGTAACACCCCGAGACCGATGCGCCAGGTGTCATCCAGTTATTTGCCATTGTTGCCATGTCATTCGCTTGCGTGTTGCACTTTGCCATGTCATCATGTGCATTTCATCTGCATGTTTCAAAACTTGCATCCGTCCGGGTCTCCCAGTTCTCTCCATTGTCCGTTTTGAGCCCAACCACACTCACACACGCCCGCCACACCTTCTAGATCTTGTTTTGTGAGCCGCAGAAAAACGTTCTTGGAATGGGCCGAGAGTTGACGAGTGGTCTTGGTACATCACCGGTAGACCGCCTGTCAAATTTCGTTCCATTTGGAGGTCGTTTGATGCCCCAATGGTTAACCACGTTAACGCCGAACCCCTTTCTCTTTGCAGCCCAGCACCCCTCCATAGCAGCCCACTAGCCCATCTAAACCCCCTCCATCCTCTTCACCGTCGGATCAGGATCGTGTGGGCAAAACCGCTCTGAAAAATTCCTCACCTAGCTCCTGTTATCTATATAAACACCCCCTCCCTCGAAATCTCAGCTACCCCTAGATCAAATCCCCCTTCTCCGCGTCGGACTCGTCTGCTCGCCGTCGAATGCGTCCGCTACCACCAGCCACGTCGCCTGACCAATCAGAGGCCGCCACCTCAGCCGCCGCCGCCTCCACAACCAACCCTGCGCTGCCACATGTCCCCCCGTCCCCCGCGCCCACTTCGCCGCCTGGCCGCGAGGCCCGAAGCCGCCGCCGCCGCAGCCCACGCGGGCCCGGCCATCCTTCGCCGCCGGCTCCTTCCTCTGCGTCGCCCGAACTCCATCGCCCCGCCGCCTGATCGCCGGACTCCGCCCGCCATCGACTCCACCTCGCACCGAATCCGCCGCCGTGTGCCGCCACCGCCCCGACCGCTCCTCGCCTCGCGCTGTCGTCCGCGCCGCTGCGCCCGGCATCTCTCCATCGCCAGGGAGCTCCTGCTCCAGCTCGGGCGCCGCCCCGCGCCGCCTCTTCCTTGTCGTCGGCTCCGCCTGTGGCTGGATCCGGGCAGGAGCCGATCGGATCCACCGCTCCCGCCTCTCCGCCATCCTCCTCCGGCCCCCCTCCGTCACCGGCGACCTCGCCCGTCGCTAACCGCCACTAGTCGGCCTCCTCTGCCACCGCGTCAGGACGGCCCCGTCCTGGATCGCCCAAGCCATCCATCCAAACACAGCCCGGACGCCGGGATCCCCTCGTCTCGAACCCCTTCGTCCACTTCTCTCCGAGGTTGATTTTTTTTGCCCGAGTCCCAATTTCTTAAACATTATGTGTGCATGTTTGTGTGACCATAACTTTTTGCATATTGCTCCGTTTTGAGTGTATAATATGCCAAAATGTTCATCTCTTGGTGCTCTCCATGCTAGAGTAGTTTTCATTCATGTTGCTGTTCATATTGATGCCTCAATCTTTGTTGCGAAACTGCTAAGTGATATAAACTGTTGTAATCTGCTGCCCGTTAACATCTTTTAGCCATCTTGTGAGTGTTGTAACTTTGTCCCTGTTGATCCTGTGGTGATATATGCAAATGTTCAACTCAGAGTGCTCTACATGTTGGTGTGAATTGCATACATGTTAGGATGCATCTTGACATGTTAATCCCTGTTACGGAAGTACTTGCTGATGTTAAATGCTGAAAACTGTTATAACTTGTTATTTTGTCATTTTATATCTTTTTTGCGTGATCTTATTTTGAGCATTATGTCAACATGTTTTAGAAGCATAATTATGCCATCTTTGCAGTGGTGCAATTCTTTTATTTTGATATGCGCTGTGATGAGTGCAACAATCTTGTGAAGTGGGCTACTTGCTATTAATATTCTGACTAGTCTGAATCTGTCATATCATGATGCAATGTTTGCTTGATGCTACCATCAAATTCATGCATAATATGGAGATGCCTA